GTTTCACATTGCAAAGTCTGTTTTCACAACGCTGCTCGTCGCGGAGTGGCTGCTAACTACAGTGGCTAATGCAAAAATACAAATAGCCCTGTCTAGAGCCAGTGTTTGTTTGTCCGTTTAGGGCTTCTGTAGAAACATAGCAAGGCAACATGGCGATCTCTGTACATGAGGACCCGCTCTGTATGTAGATATAAATTTCTTCTTATTTTCAGAAAACATATTTGTTATATTCCTTGTCTGCCAATATATCCCCCTAAATCCAACACTCTGAACCTCTACGTGTGAAGATAAAATACGGAAATACAGAGAGCAAGAATCAGAGTTGAGGACAACACTGTTGTTAAATGTGTCTATGCTTCATTCATCCCCTCATAACTCTGCTCTCTGCATCCATTCTTCACTGTTCTCTCAGCCGCACATCCTGCCAAACAACTCTGCAGACAGTCACCTTGATACTTGTGTTTACTCTCGCTCTTCCACTCACTTATTTTCTGCTGTCTCTGGCTCAGTCACTTTCGCTCGCTTTCTATCTGCTGTCTCTCTCTGATTTCTTCCTGCCTCTGTGTGTCTGCCTTTTCAACCCCCGTACTTTCTCAACTTCCTCTTAAATCAATATACTTGATTTTTCTCTCCTGTCTCTTCCTGTCTGCACTCCCTGCCTCGTTAGTGTGTGTGTGTTTTGTGTTAGGACGTCTTTGACATCCCCATCTGAGCTCAGCTAAAGACAGGGGATAGGTAAGAGGAAGGTGAATGTGAGAGAGAAGAGGGAGATTAAAGAGGAAACTTTCCTCTTCACTAATCTCTCTCCTGCTGTCAGACTTCTTTTCCTTTCTATTAACCTTGTCAAACCAGTGTAGATCAAATTTTGGTGCCATATTGGATACATAACAGAAAAATACATAATGAATTGGCTTAAATAGATGAGTGCCTGGGATATTGTTATCTAAGGTATGTGTCAATGTATGGAAGGAAGAAAGGGTGAGAGGAGTACAAAGAGAGAAGGAAATAAATAGGGAGGAATGGAGAAACATTATCATTAGAATTACAAAGAAATCTGCTTTCAGCGTGTTTACGTTTGCAGATTATCCACCATGGGCAGACTATTCCAGATCTGATGTGTCAACGCAACATAAAAATTCATAAGTTATTCAGAGAAGTTACAGACCATGAAAAACACCCATAATGTTAGGGCTGATTTATGTACGCAGAGGGACACCGACACACAGTGATAGCCACAGCAGGCTGGCCTTTTTGGGCAGTACAGTGAAGTGTGACCCCAGCCTAAAACTATTCCAGTAATGCTGATCGTGGGAGGAGAATACAGGACAAATAGCTAACGCTCACATGCTACCACACACACAGAATACATGGAGCGTTTGATTGGCGGCTGGTAATTGCGGCTGACTCCTTCAGAGGGGGACGTCTGGTCTGACACAGTGAAAGGACAAAGGTCAAACAATAACATCTTCACTTTCTTTCCCTCTCTGTTGTCCTCTGTACAACGCCTCTCTGGTCTTTTTAAACACTCGTGTATTTCTCTCCTTGCCACTCTGTCTGTCCCTCGCTCTGTCTTCATCTAATTTTCTGTCTGTCTCTCTGTTGGACCAGCTGATCAGCTGAGCCAATGAGGGAGTGGAGTTTCCACCAGTGGTCGACTACCTAAGTGTCTATTGGAAAAAGAGACAAGAGGCAAGGGCAGATGTGGCATAATAAAATATTATTTTGATAACAGTAAGGGGAAAAAATAATTAGCTTGCTTATTTATCATGTATACATTATAAAACAACAATCCGCTCAGACATTCCCACACATTAATGCACACGCAGTCATGCACACAGCTACAATTAGGAGGGGATCCATTGTCCTACTGAGTGGGGAGGAGGGGGGTTGCTAGGCAACCTCTATTTTTAAGGTGAACAAGACAGTGCTGAGGGAGAATAGTGAGAAATAGAGAGAGAGGAAAACAGAGTGGGGAGGGGGAGATAATGAGTGTCTGAAACCAGAGGGGTTGACCACAGGAAACTCACACTTAATCATTCAAACCGCATGCAAATGAAGACATACACCCTCAAACAAACACACAAACAAACACTTTCCTCCTCTCTCCGCACATCATCTTCACTCAGTCCATCTCAGCCTCTCATGTGACTGTACAATCAGGATATGGGGCTACAAACTAAGAGCTATGTGTGTGGATAGCCACATACGTTTCATATGTAGTTAAAAGCTGGGTCGGTAATGCATTCAAATGTTTTTCATTAAGCTACAGGAGGATTTTGCATCTGAGAGCGTTTCTCAGCGTGCCTGCATGGATGTGTGTGTGAGTGTGCATGTGAGGGAAGCTTAAGCTGAGCAGCATCAAAATACAATAAAAATCAGACAATCTTTCACACGGTTGGCGGCAAGTGCTGCTAGGTTTCTATGCAGACACCGCTCAACTAATGCTCAGTAAGAGGAGTATGCTGATGCAGCCGTCTGCTGGGAAATGTATTTTGGTTTTGTGCATCCTGACAAATCTGCAGCACACTACAGAGTGGCTGTCTGATGGGTAAAAATAATTTCATGGTAAGGAAGCAGTCATTCCTGCCCACTGTGTTTAGAAATACAAACACTTGCAAATGTCCTCCCTCAAGTATGAATACTAATGACAGAGCTGCTGAAATGCCCCTTTAGCTTGAAATCATTTCCAGTCTCAAGGGATCAAAAGCTGTTTCAACAAACATCTTAACTCAATATGATTCAATTTTTCATTGCATGAAAAAGTACAATCTTTAATATACTGAAGCAGTATAGCTAAGCAGCTCCTTCCTTGATGTTAAACCAGTAGCAGATGTGAATGGCGCTGCAACTAACGATTATTTTAATTATCAATTTATACATAAAATGTATGAAAATTGTGCTAATTATGATCTCCAAGTGATCTGCTGACTAAGAACTCCGGTGTTTCGAGCTTAAACTCTGTTACTTAGACCTCAGTAAGAAAAAAAGGAAAAGAGATTGTGTGCAGTTTGAACCTGCACAGAGAACAGACCCTCTGTTGGTTTGGGAGTGAAACTCTGAGATTGAAACCCTGCCCGTTAAAGAAGTCTACTGAGACTACAGAGATCATTTAGGGCTGCTTGCTCAGGTAGAATTCCAAGTGGCAAAAATGCAAAGTAGTATACAGTGAAAAATGGCTACACAGTCTATTGCTGAGTGGATATAGGGCTTATTTACATGCAAAATCCCCCATGCTGTCTCCAATTTACAAGAGCCAGGATTACTATGCAGTATTTCATAAATCTGAAAACAGACAGATGGAATGCCCGGAAGAAAGAGAGAAATAAACATTGAAACATCTGCGAACAACTAAAAAGGAATACGAGAAGTGAAACCAAATGTTGCCTGCAGCACATGTGTGAGTTTGTGTGCATTTGAAGAACAAATCAAAAATAAATCAGCAGGTCTAATCTTTTGCAAGCAGCTGATTTAAGTTGGTAGCACATACACAGTACATACTTTCCTTTGAAATCTTATTTTAATCCTGTTTAAGGTAGCATACATTGTCATTTTCATCAGAAGAGACACAGTGACTGCATGGAAATAAAAGCACAAACTAAAATGTATCCCTAACAATAATCTTTTTATCCCACCATTTATTGTAAATTAGCATATAGTGGAAGACAAAAAAGGGATGGGAATCACCAGAGGATCCATGAAAAGATATTATCATGACAATTAAGTCACTGTACAATATTACTGCAATTTTAAGTATGTTGCGATATGTTGAGTACTGCAAAATATTGTGATTTATTACCTTTTTCAACTGTAAATTATGCCCCTGAAGAAAAACTGTGCAGTTAATTATATTACTCTAGCTGACTACCTAAAGTTTAATTTGTATTTGTAATATTGATAATTGTATTATTAAGAATCGATATATGTCACTGTGTGACGATACAATCTTGCACACAAAAATATCGCAATACTATGCTGTATTGATTTTTTCACCCCCAATAAAAGCGATCCCGTCTCAAAAGGGTATTAGAGCATACTAACTGCATAGAAGGTGCTCTATTTTGTTTGCAAATTATCAGTTCTGCCTTGCCTTTTTTTGCTTCAGGCTACACGATGAGCAAAGTGGCATTTAAGGTTAAACTGAAATATTATTCAATACTTATTTGAACATTTCAACATTCCACTCACTTTTTAATCTCTGATGTATCTGGCCACTTGCCTGAAACACTCCTTAAGCATTAATTTTGCAGTTTATATTTAATCTGAAACAAATGTGCCGAAAAGTCAAGTTCAACTGAAAACTAAGTGCTTAATACACAACTTCTGAGCCTCGTGGTCAGGCTATAGGAGAGCTCTAAGACCCTTATGTACAGTTCTCTCTCCTTAACCTTCTGTGTAAAGCGGGGGTGTCAAACTCATGGGCCACATACAGCCTAATTTGATCTTGGATGGGCCATATACCAATAAAACCATTGCACAATATCCTATAATCAGCTCCAATATGTTCGCTTTTTTTGTGTAAAGAATAACAAGTGCATTCTGTAGACGCTCAGCCTTTTACAAAACAGATGAACAGCCTGACATGTCTTAAAAATTCGTGCAATTTCAACAGTATGTCTCAGTTTTTCCATATTCAGTCAGTGTACTTCTTGCTGTCATTACATGTGCACTTATCCATATGTTTCCTGATAAAGGTGTGATGCAGTCTGATACAGATTATTTTGAACTGAAGCTGCTGACTGACAACATTTTGCACAATGTTCAATATCTTTAAACATGGTCACAATAAATATTAATTGTTATATCAGGGAAATGTATTCTGGTAAGGGTGGAAAACCCTCTCAAGCAGAATTTAAAGAACAAGTTAACCGTATTTTTTTGTTTAACTTGCTCCTGAAACCTGGCACCTATTAGGCTAGACATCTAGAGGGCCAGATAGGATCCTTTGGCAACGCACGAGCTGGTTCTGGCCCATGGACTGTATGTTTGGCACCTCGGTATAAAGGCACTGCTGGGATTTGAACCCAGGACCTCTTGTTTACGATACAGGCGCATTCACCACTAAGCCACAGCGCCACATAAAAAAGAAAGCAAGGCTTAAACTGGCAACCTTCAAATATAGTTTCCTTAAGATAACACATTGAATTAAATAACCAACATAACATCTTGCTTTAAAGACAGTAAGTATGAAATAAAGGTAACTGGAAACAGCCAAGTTTACCTGAAACATTAAGCGCTTAATGCATAACTTCTGAACTTTTGGGTCAGGCTTTAAGACTGATGTACAGATGTTTGTTTGTTATATTCATCGTTTAAAAAAAAAAAAAAAAAAAATTCAAAGGGTTTTGAAATTTTATATATCCTACATAATCCTCCATGACTTCCTCATGCACCTAAAAATGGTCTGAACCACAACATGACAGCTCTACAATTACTGCTGGACTGACAAGAAGTTTTGGGCATACAGGTCTGATCTCAGACCAGTGAGGCCACAAAAGTTGACTAATCTCATAGTCCACACAACGTTGGATGACATGACAGCTCTGCAAAAGCGAAGCCAAAAAATCTCAATCAGCCCCTGGTGGCAGGCTGCAGTACACGTCATTAATCCTGCCTTCTCCATGTTTAGGATGGGACATGGCTCAAACTAAAACACTCAAAGTACATCATGAATGGCATCCGTGTGTGCCAATCAGTGTGCTCGCAATTGAGTCAGGCCAATCAGGTGGGTATAAGGGCAGGACTCTGACACTGTGGCTCTATCAGCCGATGACTACTGCACAGACTATGGCTCCAAATGACATCATCAACGTAAGATGACAGTGTCCATACCCGTGATATTTTGGCTTTATTTTTGTACCGTGGGGGGAAGTGGAGATGCATCAGCCATCTTTATTTACAGTCTACAACCCTGAGAGATGGAACCTTTTTACTTATATATAGCCGTTTGACTCATCACAGAGGCAAGGCATCACAGTCCTGTGTCAACAAGCAGAGATAGAGGGCTTTACTAGTCCCACTAGTTTTTCAGAGAGAGGACAGACAGCGCTTAACTTATACCATCTCCTCAATCACAACTAAACTGGACTGAGAAAAAGGCACTGCTGGGATTCGAACCCAGGATCTCCTGTTTACTAGACAGGCGCTTTAACCAACTAAGCCACAGCGCCACATGCACACTTGTCAAAATGCAGTGTACACATTGCCAATCTGCCTATGATAAAGTAAACTGTAAATGTTATGTGCTTACAATATTGCGCAGCTTCAAAGACTTTGGGCAAGGCTTTGAAGAGAGGTATAAATATATAGGATTTGTTTAACATATCCAGCTAGAATCCAGACAATCTTACCTGTGCATAGTCCCTCTCCAGCTGTCCCTTCTTCAGGCTGTAGCTCCTACAGAGACAGAAAGAGACAAATATTTATTCAAGTGTCTGAAGGACATTAGTATTTAAAGTCATTTTGAATAATTGTTATAAAGCCAACCAGCAGCTCACAAGTCATTGCCATTTGTAAGATGTATATTAAAGACAGGAGGAAGCAGATATAAATTAGATACTTGTTCCATTGATATTCTGTACACTGTGATTAAAAAAATGTTTGGTCTCATGCGTCTCAAGAGTGGACTCAACAGAAAAGAAAACAGCATAACAGATGCAGCAGGGTTGTTTTTTTTTCTTTTAATTGCCAGACCACCCCATGTTCTGACCTACTAATACACAACCCCCTACAAACTTTCCCCCCTTGCCCTCTCTATGTCACACAGCACCCTGGCAGCAGAGACAGTGGAAGTTCTTATCAAAGCCCAGGAATGTGCAGAATGAAAAACAAAACATTAGGTATACGATTACACGGACAGATAAATGTACTGCTACTGTTTTCTGAATGAACAAAGCAGCAGGTATACTGGACATGACCACACCAGGTGCTCACAAAACATTTTACCTGCATATCTTGACATAAATTAGACTACTTCAATATGTTATATGTGTATATACTACAAATAACTCCCACTAAAGCTGCCTCAGTACATAACATCTCACGATAACATTTGATGATTTTCCCCAGTCCAGATCTCAGTTTTAGCTAACTGTTGAGGACTCGACCCATTGAGCAATTTTTCACAGATGTCTGTGATTGTTTCTGATAAGGTTTGTAAGAATGTGCTTTTGTGTGAATGGCTATGCTTGTGTTGTGTCTCCTCTCAGTCTCTATTGGGCAAGAAATCTTAATTTTGACAAGATCAGATGAAAAATCTGACAAAATAAAGTTTTACAAAAGATAATATTTGTTCTGGCATGTAGAAAAGGCACTGCTGGGATACAGTCGTAGGATCTTCTGTTTACTAGACAGACCCTTTGACCAACTAAGCCACAGCGCCCTCCCGCCGTGTGATTAATAATTACTCATGGACTTAAAAGTTTGATTCCAGGCCACAAAAGTTGATTGTCTCATCCTGACACATAAAACATGTCTTTGTTCTTTTCCGCACACAATTCAAACTTCCATTATCAAGCAGGCAGCGAGGAAAAGACACAAAAATGAAACAACATTGTTGCAGGAGTATCTGAGAAACTCCACCCCAAGGACAAAACACCCGGACATAAGCAGAGTAATGTAGTGTATGCAGTTCAGTGCAGCCAGGAATGCACAGATTTATACATTGGGGAAACAAAACAACCACTCCACAAGAGCATGGAACAGCACAGGAGAGCCAGCTCATCAGGTCAAGACTCAGCTGTCCACTTACATCTACAGGAGAAGGGACACTCCTTTGGAGGAAGCAACGTGCACATCTTGGCCAGGGAAGAAAGATAGTTTGAAAGAGGCGTAAAAGAACCCATCTACGTCAAACTGGAACGACCATCGTTACAACACTTATCACCCACCTACAATGCAGTCTTGGGATCCCTCCTTAGATGACTTCACACCTATTCACATCTGATCCCACCTGACCCTAACGACTCACATGATGGCCAGGTGGGTCAACGACTCAAATTGTGACCTTAACAACTCTGCAAGGGTTAACACCCACACAGAGTTTAAAGCCTGCAACTCCGTCCCAGTCATTTAGAACTGAAGAAGCTTCTTGGATGAGACGCCTTCAAGAAACACAAGCAAGTCCAGTTGCCTACAATATCGCACTTATCATTACCGTGACCTGGATGACTGAGAATCTTCAGCGACTTCCATTATCAAAGCAATTCCATATATAGCAGTTATGCAGCATACATGGAAGCTCTATCTCTGTAGTTTTTCCAGGAGGACTGCTCTTGACGTATATAATCCTCTGTTTGCATATCTTATCAACTACAGCTGACCTGGACTGTGGAAAAGGCACTGCTGGGATTTGAACCCAGGATCTCCTGTTTACTAGACAGGCGCTTTAACCAACTAAGCCACAGCGCCATGTAGCACCTGCCCTGGGAGTAATGTTTGAAGTCCGTCTTTATCGAAACAACATTCCAAGGATATTCAGTGTATAAAATATGTAAAACAAGAACCGCAAATACTCACATTTAAGAAGGTGGAATCAGCAAATGTTTAGCATTTCTGTTTAATCATTTATATCCCCTCATTTCCTTTGAGTTTAGCATGGCAATACTACAGATTCAAATGACTGAAACTGACCAATTTTTCTATTAATTTGACATTTTAACCAATTCAGCCACAGCACCTGCTGCGTGCATACAAGGACAAAAGTGACCTCATAACTGCCACTGACAACTGGAATATGTTGTAAATATGTTTTTGGAGCACCAAAGGCTAAAGACAAGAGCAGCATCATGAAGGTCTAACAGCAACAAACCAAGCACAGTGTTTCACAGAAGGCACTGCTGGGATTACTAGACAGGCGTTTTAACTAACTATGCCACAGCCCTGCGGCTATGCCCTTGGAAAGGACGATCTTTAGCTCGGCAACCTTGCAAAAACTGTTTTTATTAAAGCGATATATTGCAATGCATTGCATCACCATTAAATGATAAAACTATTAGAAAGACTTTGACAAATAAAGAAATGTAGTAAGAGCAGCAGGCACTAGGCTTTCTTGTTGCTGTTATGAGGCTTTAACGTTATAGTACGGTTTAATGTTGTCAAATGACTCAGCAGCATAAAACAGTGATTTGATTAAAATCTCAGCGCAGCAGCACAGGATTTACTGTTCACTGCAATTATCGGGTGTGAGCCAAATAAAATCACTTGTTAAAACTGTTGTTTGAAAACAGGAACATGTGTCAATACAACCAAAGTGTCTTTTAAGCTATATTCAAACACAATATAAGCCGTCATAGGAAGCAGAAGGCCACAGAACAGAGGTTTGGTCTTTTTCAAGACTCAGGTTATTTAGACTAAATCATGACTGTAAGGTAGAATGTTGTGATGGGAGGAAGAAGAAATCAAGCCACTCTCCTTTACTGTTGTGTTTTTGCTCTGGTCTTTTACTTTGGATGGAGTGAGTGTGGAAGTGGTTTGACAAGTAACCTAATCATTAGCATTCTCTTTTTGCTGATTCACATGTAAATGTTTGGGACTCACTAGCCCGCTTGGATGGCCCCATGTCAATCACTTGCTGAGGGCTTGTTAAGAGGGTTTGGGGAATGTCAGTTTTGGTTAATTTTGCTTTTGATAGCCTGACACCCTTTAACCAGGAGCTAAGTGGTTCATTTTAAGGAAAAAATGCTTAGTCTAGTGCTCCCCTTACTCAATGGGCTTTATTGCAGCATTTCAAATGCAATCCATTTTAGTGTTTTGTGTTGTAATCTATCTTTTTGTGTGTATGGGTGTCCACTTTGCTGACATAAAGGCAGTTATGTGCCCATTGCCCACCCTATAGTCTCCATTGCTTAGTTAGCTGCTCTGCACTTCAGAGTAGCAAAATTAACTTTAAGACCAACATGAGTACGGCAGGATTTATACTAGTGCGTCAGCTACGCACATGGCCTATGCCATTGTGAGCATTTATACATGCGCGGTGGTGTGTCTGTGTCACTCTGCAGTTACACCTCCAAAATACTAGTCATCAGCGGGGTTTCTATGAAGTGCTATAAAGTTAAGCTGATTCAAAACGCACCTGAAACACACATTAAACATGACTTAATAGCTACAATTTCAAACACAAGAACACAAATCGGCTTCATTGTAGCTCGCAGCATTCACAGACAAAGCACTTGTCTTTCGCTTACACTATTTTCTAACATTAGGCATCCCACAATTACAATATCAACCACAGCATGGAAGGACAAAACATTTTTTGTTTAGCTGGATGTAATACCGCCTGAAGAATTTAACATTTCTGTCCTTTGACTGTTTGGAAAATGCACTGGTGCTGTGCCTTTTGCTAAGTACAAGTTTGAATAAGCTATTAAAACAGCTTAGAATATATGTAGCCCAAGGTAGCCCTTCAAGTAACAGAGCCAATACTGTTTAACAGTGCAACTGTATGAGGGAACTTAACAGCTACAATCAAGAGACACCAGGGAAGGGAAACAGTGGGGCAAGACGCAGAAAGGAAGACAACACTTACTGTAAGCGTAGACAGCATAATTACTGCCAATTCTCTCTATACTAATTACAGCCCAAACAACTAGGACAGTGCTTCTTGTCAAATGTTTCCCAAGGCGTCATTTTGTGTTAAACCTGCTGCGTACATTATGTTTCCCAAACGGGGGGCTGCTTTAGATTTCTGGCTTTACCTAAAAAGAGGCATGAGAAATTCTTAATGACTGAACCAGTCTTTTAACTCCTGCACAGAGAGGCACATACAAGAGTGCAATATTTCCAACTGTCAATGATCAACTGTGAGAGGCCGGAGCATGTGTGTTGTGTTTAACTCCACCCCTGTGCATGTCAGTTGAAATGGGACACGCTCCCACCACTGATCACACAGACAACTCCACCCCCGACCTAAAGTATTGAGTATGCAGAGCAAACCACACATGCTCAAATACTCCTACAGGCCTCGTTGGCGCAGTAGGCAGCGCGTCAGTCTCATAATCTGAAGGTCGTGAGTTCGAGCCTCACACGGGGCAGCTGTTTTGTGATGCAACTGGAAATCAATACTCCCTAAAATAGTGAAAAATGTGGAAAGACACGCAACATTATCCAACAGCCCATGTGATGTCTATGAAGCTAGTACTGGCCATAACTACAAAGTACCAGAACAAATCAGTAAACAGATAATGTGGGGGGTTTTTGGTGTTAGTTATAATCACAACATTGCTGCGATCTCTCACTCACGAGCTGACCAAAGTCACCCTATTCTGCAACATGACACTTGATCACAGATGTTGGTGTGTATGTTATCGAAAATGTGTCCTAACTCGAGGCATTGAAGCTCTCTTTCTTCTTGCTGTTGGACAGATGTGTGTCCTCTGGTCCAAACTAAACTAGACTGT